CAGAACACTCACATGGGGTGGGTCCCATGTGAGTAAAAAAATTAAAAAAAATATTCACCTCACCCACCCTTTATGTGAGTATCTGTTCCTGTTCTGTAAACAATAAAATCTCTATACATAGATTTATTGAAATTTTTTTGTTGGGTTGAACTTTTTGCATGCGTGGCAGCCCCCTGTTTGGACAGGGGCTTGCCCCCATAGCGTAACACCTTTTTGTTTGTTTCTGTTTGGATAGGGTTTATCTAATTGGCGCCCCAGCGCTCTGTCCGTCCAGCATTCCCTGATGAATAATTACTATGCTGACTCACCTAATACAATGTTGCGAATTTGACATTGTCCTCTAACTAATATGATATGTAAAATTACTACACAAAAAAGAACATGTCACGTTATCTCTTGAGATACAAAATAAGACTCATCAGTGCTATACATATTAATTTGGAAAAAAAATTGAACTCACCTATACTATACATTTTCATTACAGAGTTAAAACCTCATTACATCAACAAAATTTAATTCTACCATGTCCGAGGATAGGAATAGCCCACCCCCAAATATTCAGAAGACCTTTAGTCTCTTCGATTAATTTTGAAGGTAGAAAGACATTATCGTAACAATAGTTTTTTAAAATACATTTTGCTTTTCCCTTCCTTTTTTTCCACCTTCCATCTTCAAATATTTTCAAAACCTCATTCGTCAGTGTATGTATGTATGTATGTATGTATGTATGTATGTATGTATGTATCTATATATATATATATATATATATATATATATATATGTATATATATATGTATCAGCTTCGAGTTGCAAGATTCGGGTCGGATTGAGTTGCAGAGTGAATCCTGCTTTAGTAATTCAGAATAAATTAAATAGGGTTGTTCAAGTACGAAGACTTCGGATTCCATAGCAACAAAGTCAATATTTCACTCTTTCAAATAATTTGGGATTTCACTTCAAAAAGAATATATTTAATACCATGGTTTAGTAATGCACGAGATCTTGTAGTGCTTAGTGCTGAAGTCATATCATCTACTAGAGATTTGTGATTCACATTTTCATTCAATCCGGAATCAAATAGGTTATAGTTAATAGACAAAAGTTTTTGATTATGGGAGAAAAATCAATAAAATTCTAATGTAAAAATCAGAATAAACTAAGACGAAATAAGGAGTAGACGAATGAGACCTATATAGGCTATCTAATAAACACAATTCAAATAAACATTAGGTACAACATGCTGCAAAATCCTCATTTAAGTTTTCCATCCTAAGTGAAGTTTGGGATTCTTGACTAGTCCCGAACATGATTGAGTCGAGTTGTCAAACAAATTTTTTGATCCCTTCTTGTTGTATAGATGGAGGTTTACAGAAACTTTACAGAACACTCACATGGGGTGGGTCCCATGTGAGTAAAAAAATTAAAAAAAATATTCACCTCACCCACCCTTTATGTGAGTATCTGTTCCTGTTCTGTAAACAATAAAATCTCTATACATAGATTTATTGAAATTTTTTTGTTGGGTTGAACTTTTTGCATGCGTGGCAGCCCCCTGTTTGGACAGGGGCTTGCCCCCATAGCGTAACACCTTTTTGTTTGTTTCTGTTTGGATAGGGTTTATCTAATTGGCGCCCCAGCGCTCTGTCCGTCCAGCATTCCCTGATGAATAATTACTATGCTGACTCACCTAATACAATGTTGCGAATTTGACATTGTCCTCTAACTAATATGATATGTAAAATTACTACACAAAAAAGAACATGTCACGTTATCTCTTGAGATACAAAATAAGACTCATCAGTGCTATACATATTAATTTGGAAAAAAAATTGAACTCACCTATACTATACATTTTCATTACAGAGTTAAAACCTCATTACATCAACAAAATTTAATTCTACCATGTCCGAGGATAGGAATAGCCCACCCCCAAATATTCAGAAGACCTTTAGTCTCTTTGATTAATTTTGAAGGTAGAAAGACATTATCGTAACAATAGTTTTTTAAAATACATTTTGCTTTTCCCTTCCTTTTTTTCCACCTTCCATCTTCAAATATTTTCAAAACCTCATTCGTCAGTGTATGTATGTATGTATGTATGTATGTATGTATGTATGTATGTATCTATATATATATATATATATATATATATATATATATGTATATATATATGTATATTGAAAGTTAGAGCATTTGTTGCTTTGCCAAATTGGATACTTAAGAAAATATAAATGCTACATAAAAAGGTTATATAAAAATATATTTTCTATAATATGTTACTCATATTTCACTTTAAATAATCAAGTATATGCCAACAAAAAAAGAAAGAAAAAGAGCCTTGGTGAACCTCTACTAAACTTTTGACTTTGGGAAGAATCAATGTGGGACTTTTGCTTGACAAAAAATGAATTGGTGGGGATACAAGCTCTCAGGTAGTTTTTTTAATGTACCTAGAGGAGTCTTGATCAGATGGTCTGAGGTTCACAGTAATCTTTTAATCTGACCAATCATTGCAAGAAAATCATGAAAAAATATTGCTTGGTTTAATGAATATAAGGCAATTACTTTGGCTTCCTCACAATAAGAAACATGCACCAGCAAGCATACTGTCAGTACCTTGTCCAATCTTAAAAGGAAGAAAAAACTTGACAAGACAGTTTCAACAAAAAAGAGGAAAAAAATAGAAAAGGTGGATAAATATGTTGCCAAGAACCATATGTAGTTGATGGTGAAGGTTACATAACTACCCAACTAAAAAAAGTAAAAATAAACAAACAAATGAACATGATCTTCTAAGCAAAACCATTTCTTTGAAAGATAATTTTTGTCCTTATTTTTGATAAAGTATGTCTACATAATACTATTTTAACTAGTATAAATCGTGCAATGAAATAGGAGCGATGAAAATAGTAACATATAGTACTAATATCCACATGAGAAAGCAAGAAAATTGAGAAAATTCATGTACAACAGGTGAACTACTTTTTAAATAAAATACGTCTCTATGACTCATGTAGCAAGGTCACTTAATTTATCATTTACAATTATGCTATAAATTAGCCTCACTCTCACTCTCACTCTCACTCTCTTAAAAGTAAGGACTATTACGACGTCAAACAAAAGACATGTGAAAGTCCCATGTCCCACATGACTTTTTCCTCCTAACACACTTGAATTTGCAACTTAATCTCTTAATGTGTTTAGAACTCAAATGAATCGACAAGCGGTTTAACTCGAAAATTGAATGAATTTTTTTTAAGGGTCATTAAGTACAAAATGAAGTCTTTCTCTATAGTTTTTCCTAATTCTATATAATGGTACAAGATGACTTTCTAAAGTGTTTATTCAGTTTCCTCCACTTTGGATGGCTTCTGGATACTAGAATGAGTCCTATGAAATAAAAAAATGTTTTGAAACACAAAAGGTTGAAAAAGAGAAATTGCACATACAATCACCATCATTACTATCATCACTAATTCAACCCCACAGGACCACACTTAAATTCCAAACAATTCCCTCTTTCACTTTCTTTTGGGTTTATTATGGCAAAGGTTCCCAACCTTCAGATTTTTTTGCACTTTTATCTCTAACCTTTTTATTTTACTACTTTGTTCATAACCTATTGAAAATGAACGTCATTCATCCAAATAGATGACTTTCATTGATTTTTCGTTAGTCAACCAATATGACTAGCATATTCAAATTTAAAATGACAAAATTGTGATTTGTATTCGCAATTAAAATATTAAAAAACAAAATAAAAAAAATAAACAAACTATGGGCGAGGAAAAGAATTGGAAAAAAAAAAAAAAAACCAGTAATCGTTGTCCTCCTCCACCACAACTACATCGTTGTCATCTCCACATCAGCACCACACCATCCCCGCCATAGCCAATATTAGGAGGGAATTCTTCTCATTTGCTATCATTTTTTTTTATAATATCGGGATCCTAGAATAATGACGGATTTCTCTAGGGACAACGATTTGTCTTGCCAAATGTGAGCTCCGTGGGTAGCCATCTCAAACAGGGTGAGTATGCCCTGCTTAATTGGGACGAGCTCATTTTGAGGTGGGGTTTGCTATTCGTTTAATTTTTATCTAATATTTCGAATATTAAATTACATATTCCAAAAAATAAATACTTTAATATGCACACATCCACACGTTATTTATAGGTTTTTCTTCTCTAATATGATTGATAGTTTTTCGATGTAGGACAAAATGATTCCTTCACTAAAACCTCAATACTTTGACTATAAATGCATGGAAGAAATTTCACAACGTATTATTTTATATAAATGTGTTGAAAGATAAGCTTATAAAGGATTCATTATTAAGTAAAAAATTGTCTTTATATATTTGGATAGATCGTTAAGTAGATTTGTGGACTTTTCATTTATCTCCCATTAGTAAATTTTTTTTAATTTCTATAAATGTAAATAAAAAATAATAATTTAAATATTCAAATACTTAATAAAAAAATATAAACAAGGTGACAAAATTACTATCAGGACGCGAGAGCATGCATACCTACCATGTTGCCATCAGTATATTTTTCCCTCATGTTAGTGGTGGTGGCGTGATGGCAATACAATGTTGGAGGTTTGGTGGTACCGGTCATGGGTAAAGCCAAAGATCTTTGTCGAAAAGATGACATTTTAAAATTATTTTCTTTTGTTTTTCTTAAGAGATAGATAAAGAAGCAACAGATGAATACTTTTTTCGAGAGAATTTTGTCATTTAATTTTTGAATAAGCTGATTAAATGGGTTGAAATGAAAATCGTTGGTTTCAACGAATGCTACGTATTCTTTCCAAAATTGGGAACAATGTAGTAGATATAAAGGTCAGAGAAAAAAGTGCAAATGAATTGAAGGTTGGGGACCTTTGCTGTAATTTACCCCTTTCTGTCTTTTCTTCTCCCCTTCCTCTCAACTTTTTTCATGTTCCCCCTACAGATGTTAAGTTTCCATTTACACACACATATACATACTTACACACACTCTCTCCCTCTGTCTATTACTCTCTCTGCACCCTCTCTCTTTCTCTCTCTCACACAAATACACGCACACACAAAACACAGATTTCATAGTCATCAAGATATGTATATAATTATACATATATATATCATATGATGATGGACACAAAATCCTTCCGTTTTCAAAGAATGATCATGTTTTGACTTGGTTTAGCTTGTCCTTTTTTGGTTCCAAACTAAGCTAAAGCTGAACTTGACTGGAAAAACAGCTGAAGAAGGAAGAAAACCATGCATAGAAGGGTATTTATTAGTTTTCTTAAATTCATGAATCTGGCTGTTCTTATAATTTGCTCAGGTAAATTAAGTTTCTTTTTTTGATTTAATTATTGATTTTTATACATCTCTATTGGTTCTTGATTGCATTAGTTTAATTTGATTTAGCAAGGGAATCTTATTCTCTGATTTTTACAAGCTTTGAATCCCTTTTTCCTTTATTCTTTATTCTTCAATTTAGATTTTTTTTTTTTTTTGTGTAAATGTTAAATGAATTGCTTTTAAATCATGCACATAGATTCTGTCATTAGTTTTCTTTCATAATTTCCAAATTTAGGAAATTAAATTTAAGTTACTAAGAATTGATTGGTTTGTAAAGATGATTTTGGTGTTCAGATCATCAAAATTGTATTCATAGTCAATTTGTTTTTAAATTTTCAATCTCTAGGATAGATTCTTTTCAAAATTAACTTTTTTATGTCATCATTATATTATTTCCAGTCAGTTTTGAATTCTTTTTGCTTTTTGGAGTCTCATCATTGAATAGACAGTGATTTTTGTTCATGAATAAAAATGTCAAGCACAATTAACAATGTTGCATAGGATAATAGGCTAAAAATTTTAAACTTCTCCTTTTTCTTACTTTAATTCTGTTCAGTATTATCCGAGAGGGCGTTGGGGGCGAAAAAATTGCACAATTCAATCTCAATTTCTACAAGACAAATGGACATTACAACTCCACTAACAACAGTTCCAACGGCCAACCCCTCTACTCCCAACACCACCAGTCCAGTGCTAAATCCAACAGTTTCCGGCCCTGACTCGCCTAGCGTAATGAATCCTGCCAATCCCGTAACGACACCAGCCACCACGACAACCACCCCGGCAGGTGGCAGTTGGTGTGTTGCCAGCCAATCTGTGTCACAAACAGCATTACAAATTGCACTAGACTATGCTTGTGGCTACGGTGGCGCTGATTGTTCAGCAATTCAGCCCGGTGGCAGCTGCTATAATCCAATCACTGTTCGTGATCATGCCTCGTACGCTTTTAATAGCTACTATCAGAAGAATCCAATTCCCACTAGCTGCAATTTTGGTGGTGCTGCTGTAACCACGAGCACTGACCCAAGTAAGCTACATTTTTTATGCTAAAAATAAGCACTTCTTTGTGATGCTAGTTAGATCCATTAGTGAAGATAATAAAATGTCTCGATTGGTATAAAATATTTAGCAATCGAGTTGATTGAAAATGGTTAACAAGTCCCATTTTCTCGTAACACAATGTAATCTCGAATATATTTGACTAAGAATTTGGAAAAAAGTTACATTCTTTATGGAATCTTTTTGCTTTATTTAATGTACGTTTCTCTTATGCAGGTTACAATACGTGTCAATATCCATCAACTTGGTGAACTTTTAACTACTAATATTACCATTAGTCCATCTTCTGTTATTTCATCTATCAGTCAAGATAACATAAACTCATCAGCATTTAAATTTGCAGCACGAGTTCATCGGTATTGAATACGACCAATTCAAGTGGATCACGAGTTTTTGGTGCTGGACCGATCATCCCGTCTAGCTCAGCACCGGCCATTCCAAGAAATTTCCCTGATTTTCACCATATCTTGGTATCCATAATTCATTTTCTGGTTCTGAATCAGATGCAAGGACACAATTAGGTTGATCCAACGGCGCTTCACGACAAAAAAAGAAGAATATCTGATGGGAAGAAGCCTGCAATTCGAATTGAGGACGGATTTCTAATTTGGTCACAAGAACATAGAAAATTCACATTTGTTTAGCAGGCAAGTGCCATACCTAGAGGACTTGATGTCAAATTGGTGTTATTTTTAATCACTTGCCAAAGTGACATCTTTATGGTGAAAATCACACAAAAAAATATGTACAGAGGAATAACTTCGAGGTGGGTTTTTGTAGTGCTTGCTCTTACTTTTGTAACATTTTTTTTTTTTTTTTTTGGTATTTTTGTTTTGGTTTTGTGTAAGATGAATATGAGAATCTTGATTGGGAACAGTGTAAAAAAGGAAGTGTTCAATGGATGAACTTTAGAAGGGTCCCCAGGCCTTTAAATTTTCTCAGACTTTGGGAAAAAAATGTTGAATTATTGGGTCATCGTGTCTATATCTTTTACCAGATGTGTTTGTTTTATGCAGTATTAAATTGTGTTTCTTTTTGCATCAAAAACTCTAAGAAAGGTTCAGATTTTACCTTGGGACAGTGGTTGAGCCATCGAAGACTTTTCTAGTTAGGGGGAGTGGTGAGCCATCGAAGATTTTTCAGCCGATCTTTAGCCATTGAGCATTCATCCTCAGAATATTTTCTTACAAGGCTTTCACTTGAGTACTATGATTTGATTCTATAAAGCAAATTTCTCTCCTCTACTTTAAGAAATATGTCCACTGTTTTTATATTATAATTTCCCTTAGGCATCATTTCTATAAAGGCAGGATCACACGATATTAAACTCAAGAAAAAAGAAAATCTTAATCGAATAGAAATAAAGGTGCAGAAAATTAAAAGAACACAAAGGAATTATTTTGGCCTAAGCTCTGGAGGTTTGGTGACCACATCTAACGCCTACATCCCCCGTTGAGCATCCAAAGATTTGAATTATACTCGGTTGCACTAAACAACCCAAAATGGCAACAGAGTTATAGATTGTTCAGATAGATGAAAATGAGACTTATCTCTCAAGTATAGTAATGGATCTATAGAGATTCACTCAGATCTCAGCCCGTAAAACCTTCGAACACCACCAAAATGATACAACAGAAAAATCACTCAAATTTCTTCACTATTCACACAGAATATAATAATCGAAAGAAGATCTCACTATACTGTAGGTAAAATCAGAGATTTTACACATGAAACACTCAAAGAAAATCAGCATCTCCCATATCATCAATATTTTCTCTCTGAAAACCCTAGAGACGAAAGCAAGATGAAGGGTTGTGTGTGTGACACTCCATAAGGCTCCACCAAATAAAAAAGGGCAGATGAACCGGTTTAATCCAACGTCCAGAGATAGTCCACGTGTTGGCCATCCAATAAATTGTCATCACTTATTAAATAGTGTTTTATAAAAACACGATTTTGTCACAAATCAAATTCTGGAAGCATCAATTGAGGAGAACAAGGTTCGACTCCAACAATCTCCACCTTGCTGCCAGAATTTGAGCCATTAGTGCAGTCAGGAGCATGATCTTATGTCTTTTTCATTTGCTCCAAGTACCTACATATGAATCACAAAGAATCAACAGATAAAAGTTTCAAGCAGTTTAAGAATTTGTTAAATGAATTACTTTTGTACCCATATCAAATGGATTAAACTGAGTAGAAACTTTTTCAATCTTAATTTCACCTTTTGAGATTATATCTCTTATAAAATGGTATTTAACATCAATATGTTTTGACCTATCATGGAACATGAGATTTTTGCTTAGGTGAATAGCACTTCGGTTATCAGAAAACGGCACAATGTGGTTATCATTGAAACCCATTTCAGACAATAAACCATTCAACCATATTCCTTCTTTAATAGCATCAGTTGCAACTATATATTTTGCCTCAGTTGAGGACAAAGCCACAACTTTCTGAAGTTGAGATTTCCAACTGATAGCAGTACCACACAGTGTATAAAAATAAGATGAGGTTGATTTTCTATTATCTCTATTGTCAGCAAAATCAGAATCATTATACACTTTCAAACTTATTCCATTTTTATCTGATTTAAACATGAAGCCTAAATTTAATGATCCCTTAAGATATCTCAATAACCATTTTAAGGCATGTCAATGTTCTTCACCAGGGTTACTCATAAGCCTACTTATACTATATGCAAGATCAGGTCTGGTGTATATCATCAAATACATCACAGAACCAATTACATTAGCATATGGAATTCTTGATATTCTGGCATATTCATCTTCAAATTTAGGACAAAATTCAGAAGACAATCTAAAATGACTAGCAAGAGGCAGTGTTACAGGCTTACAATCATGCATGTTGAATTTTTTCAAGATTTTAGACACATAATCACATTGATTTAAAAACAACATATTTTTATCCTTTTTTCTCCAGATCTGCATGCCCAGTATTCTTTTAGCAGCACCAAGGTCTTTTATATCAAACTCAGAACTTAACTTTGATTTAATATCATGAATTTTTGATTTATCAGAACTAGCCAACAACATATTATCTACATAGAGGACCAGATATAATGAGTTTTTAACTCCACTGCCTTTGCAGTACAAGCAAGTATCATATTAGCTTCTTTTAAATCCAAGTTTCAAGACTAAAGTGTCAAATATTTTGTATCACTGTCTAGGTGCCTGCTTTAGGTCATACAAGGATTTTTTTAACAAACAAACAGTGTTTTCAAGATCACCTTCCTCAAAACCAATTGGTTGTCTCACGTATATTATTTCATCTAATTCCCCATACAGGAAAGCAGTTTTAACATCTAGTTGATCAAGTTCCCATTTAACAAGTGCAAGTAGACATCTGATAGTAACATACTTGGCAACAGGAGAAAAAATTTCAGTATAGTCCACACCTTCTTTTTGTGTGAAACCCTTTGCTACAAGTCTAGTTTATATCTAACATTTTTATCATCACCTTCTCCATATTTTATCTTATAAATTCACTTGCAATTAATTAATTTTTGTCCTTTGGGCTTATCAACTAATATCTATGTCTTATTTTTAAGGAGTGCACACATTTCATCTTCCATGGTCATCTTCCAATTTTTTCTTTCTTTACATTTCATGGCTTCTTCAAAAGAGTTTGGCTCATTTTCAATAAGATCTTGGCAAGTAAATAAGGATACAAAGGTGTCACTATCATATCTAGTGGAGGGTCTGATTTGCCTCCTCTCTCTATCTCTTGTGAGTTGATACTCATCAAAGGAGAGAGCTGCAGAATCAGCTTCTTCAACATATTCAGTTTCAACTTCAGTTTCAGGTAAAATAACATGTTCTTCATTTTCATTTTCTTTTACAGTAGTTACAGAAATATTATGGTTACTGCAGGAGGGCTCCACCTTAATTTGAACATCTTTTTCAGTCAAAGCATTTTCTTTTCCTTCAAGACATGGCATCAAGGATTCATTGAAGACTACATCCTTTCTAATTATTACTCTGTAACCTTTTGCAGATTTAACCCATAATCTGTTCCCTTTAACATGTCTATCATAACCCAAGAAAACACACTTTAATGATCATGGTTCTAATTTACCAACATTTTGATGAGCATAAGCAGTACAGCCAAATATTTTCAGATAAGAGTAATTTACAGAACTATTTGACCACACATATTCAGGAACAACAAAATTTAGAGCACTAGTAGGACTCCTATTAATCAGATAAGCTGCAATTTTAACTGCTTTACCCCGAAATATTTTAGGCAGTCCAGAACTTAATAGTATGCATCTAACTTTATTCAATACAGTTCTATTCATTCTTTCAGTCATTCCATTTTGTTATGGTGTGTGGGGAACAGTTTTGTGTCTCATGATACCATATTCCTTACAAAGATTATCAAATTCATAATTGCAAAATTCCCAGCCATTATCAGTTCTTAAATATTTTATTTTAAGATCAACCTGATTTTCAACTTGAGTTTTTCAGTCCTTAAAAACAAAAAATGTCTCATATTTAGACTTTAGTAGATGAACCCAAACTTTTCTTGAGAAATTATCAACTATTAGCAAAAAATATTTAAAATCAGTTAAAGTAGAGACAGAAGCAGGATCCCATAGATCAGCATGCAAATACTCAAGTCTTTGTTTGGATTTATGAATTCCACTTTGAAAAGGAAGTTTAGCTTGCTTTCCCAAAATACAGTGTTCACAGGAGCCAAAATCACCAAGATTATGTTTTCCAAAAACACCTTTTGATTGCAAAATATTCAAACCCTTTTTACCAATATGGCCAAGCCTTTCATGCCACAGTTTAGCCAAAGTAAACTTTTCAAATACAACAGAAGCAGTTAATCCAAGCAAAGGTTTTGTATTCAGACAATAAAGGCCATGTCTCTTAGGTCCTAAAGTGACCAAGTCATTTCCCCTAAGAATTTTTATATGTCCTTAATCCATAATTATGTTAAACTCATTGTCATCTAACATTCCTAATGACACTAAATTCATTTTCAAATCTGGGACATGTCTTGGGTTCTCTAGGAACAAAACAGTACCATTTTCTAATAATAATTTGACAGTCTCAATTCCACTCACTTTACATGCAAAGTTGTTGCCTATTATAACTTACCCCCTTTAGTTCTTTCTAAATTTATAAAACAATTTTTGTTGGGGCACATATAAAAAGAACATCCTGAGTCAAGTATCCATTCATCACTTAGGCATTTTTCAGCACTTACTAACAGAAAACCATTTTCTGTTTTGGTTTTATCATAGGCCAGTGCATTGCTTCCATCAAAACCTTTTTCTTTTGAATCATTTTTTTTTAAAACAATCTTTTGCAAAATGACAAAGTTTACCACCATAATAACATTTTTTTACCTTTTGCATTATTCTTGGTCTTACTTCTATCAACCCATCTCCTATTTGTTTTTGAAAATTAAAATTTTGTATAGGTTTTTCAAAAGATTTTCCTTTAGTTAAAAAACTAGTTCCAGTGTGACTGTTACTTGACTCAGCCTTGATTTCTAAAGCTTTATTCCTCAAAGCATTAGTTATAACATCAAGAGTGAGTTCATCCCTACCATATTCAAGGGCAACTTTAATGTTCCTATACTTGTCACTAATAGAGTTTAACAAGACTATAGCCAATTGATCTTTTGAAAGTTTTTCATCATAATTGGCCAAATCTTGGGTAAGTTTTTTGAACCTACTAAGATTTTCTTCTAAATCAACTGCATGATCCATTTTAAAGGAGAAGAATTGTTTTAAAAGAAAACATTTGTTTGGAGTGTTTTTGGTCTCATACTTAGCCTTAAGTTTGGCCCAAAAATCAGAAGCAGTAGTAGTTTCACCTACCTCTCTGATCACATTATCAGACAAATACAGAAATATAGTACTCCAAACAATTTCCTCAAGTTCAGATTTCTTATTAGGAGCTAA